AGTAGTAGTAGTAGTAGTAGTAGTAGTAGTAGTAGTAGTAGTAGTAGTAGTAGTAGTAGTAGTAGTAGTAGTAGCATCAGCAGCAGTAGCAACAGCAGCAACAGCAGTAACAGCAGCAGTAGCAACAGCAGCAGCAGCAGCAATCATGGTTCAGAACGCGGCCGGACTCTACTGGCTTTGTCTGAAGAGCAGTGACATCTGTTTTGATGCGGGCACACGACCGGCCGCGCCCACTTGCCTTCCAATTAGGTTAGACAGCATTTGCGGCTCGCAATCAAGCCCTGTTTCATAGTCCGGCTTTTCTCACGGAGCTCCGGCCAGTGTGCATTACAGAGAACAAAAATGCGAGCAGCCGATTACATGCACGTGCCACATGAGACAGCGGGCCCCGTTTGTATACGTAACATAAATAATTAGGCGTCCGCGAAGCATTTTTCGCTGTCGCTCTCATCCTTATTTTCTCTCGCTCATACCGTTGCAGACAAAACGGAAGAGGTGGGTAACATACCGATCCTGTTGAAGGGGAATCACAGGATTTCCTTCAATTTCCCACTTCCCGAGACTAGCCTACCGGGATCCTTCGAGAGCAGGTTGGGTACGGTGCGATATTGGATCAAGGCTGTGCTAGACATTCCTTACGCGTCACCGCCGCAAGGAATGAAATATTTTACCATAATTGGACCCTACATTGACTGCATGGACGAGAGATACTTGGTAAGCATTTAATGTCGCCGCCGCTTCCTGCGACGCGGCAAACCTTACTCCTTCTCTCTCTCTTTCTCTCTCTCTCTCCCTCGCCCTCTCTTTATTTATTTTCTCTCGTTCCCTGTCCCTTCTCTCCCTCGCCCTCTCTTTAATTATTTTCTCTGCGCGTTCTTCTTGTCTCTTCTCGTTCTTGTCTCTCGTCTTCTACTCCGGTCTCTCGTTCTCTCTGTCTCTCTCTGCTCTCTCGGCGCGCGCGCGTTCGTCTCGTCCCTCTCGCGTTCTCTTCTCTCTCTGCCCTCTCTCCTCTGCTCGCTCTCGTCCCACCCTCCTCCCGCCTCTCTCTGTATCTATCTATATGATCTCCCTCCTGGTCCGCCTTTCTTGCTCTCTCTCTACCGCTCCCCTCTTTCTTCGCGGCGCTAGACGCACGTACTGTGATGCGTCTCACCAGCACAGCCGACATCCCCGCTGCCCGCATTCACTCGTCTAGACTCTAGACATATCGCAAACCTCGTCACACACACACACACGCGCGCGCGCGAGCCACCCATTTTCATATGTCAGTCGAACGAAAATCCCTCTCTAATGCCGATCTCATTCGCCGGGATTTTCCCAGCGACAACGCAAGGCCGTTAAACTGAATATAAATTCGCGAGCAAACACCTGGTATTCATTCGTCGGACGAACGACTGGCTTCACACGAGGTCTTATGTTCGCGCAATCAGCGACGATTATTTATTCTAGTAATGGGGTCGCGTATAACCTTTCATTAGACGGACGGACAGCGACAAATTTCGAGGCCGTTATAAATGGCCGCTGAGCAGGTACGATCGCTCCACATTTAATCAACGCGGGCGCAGTGACAGCCAAACACTCTATCTGTATGTGTGCGTGCGTGAGGGCGTGTGCGTGCGCGAGTGTGTGTGGGCTCACATGTGTAAGACGACGTTTACCACACTGTCCGTGGTGCAGGACGCGACGACCCGCTCGTTACCCGTCGATCGCCTTTACGTCTATGTCTCCCTGGGTACTGCCGGAACGGACCCTGGGTACGGTCCGGTATACCGGAACGTACGCTGGTAACTATCTGATATGGTTAGGGTTAGGGCTAGGGTTAGGGCTAGGGTTAGGGTTAGGGTTAGGGTTAGAGTTAGGGAGTAGGCGTAGGCGACTCCCTAGACTCGTTAGTGGAGTAGGCGAGGTACGGTCCGGCATATTAGATAGTACCAGGGTACGTTCCGGTAGTACCCTGAGGGACATAGACCCTCTCAGCCCAACTGACCTTTCATGAGCCCATGATAGATACGTATCCAGATCTATACAGACTCACAGAGGTAAGTAATCACCCGCCATGGTGCTTGTTGTAAACCCATGCCCTCACCTGTCCGGCGCCGTAATCACATATACGAGCAGGTAAACCTAATACCCACCTGAGATCGGGTGACACTACAAATCCATTAAATGCGCGGACACAAATTAGAGAGCAGTATTAGCTTTCTCGCTTGATTACTACTATAAGCTAACAGATGTGCCCTCGATTAGCCCGAGATGGAACGATTACTCTCATCGCTTCTGTATATATATATATATA